TTTTTCCTGATTGGATTTTTAAATGCAAACCCCAGATGTATCATTTTACCTTTATGTACTTCAGCATATATCTCTAACAGAAAAGGAGTTTCAAAACAAAACAAAAACATATTCACAATGCCACTTTCATACTTAATAAAATTAACAATCCTAATTTGTAATAGCTATCGAACACCTAGGTAGAGACTTCCCTGGTCGTCTCAAGAATATTTATTTATAACTGCCTTATTCAGATCAGAATCTGAACAAGGGTCACAAATTTCATTTGATTGATATGTTTCTTAATCTATAACAGTTACCCTTCCTCCACCTCTTTTTTCAAATCATTCATTTAAAAAAAACCCCAAAAACTAGTCACTTCATAGAATGAATTTGCCATGTTCTAAATTTGGTTGACTGCATCTTTATGAGGTCTTTAACATGTTTCTCATTCCCCCATAGGTTCTGTAAACTGCAGATTAGATATAGAAGCCTGATTAGATTCATAGACAATCCTTCCACAAGAATAAATCACAGATGGTGCTGAGTGTTTCCTACTACATCACATCAGGAGTCTGGTTGTGATGTCTGGGTATCCCTGTTTTAGCCATATTAATACTGACCAGATGTTCAAGGTTCAAGTATTATCAGCCTGACCTAATCTATTATAAAAATTCCCCATGTACTTTTCACCTAATGATTTCATAGCCAGTTATAATCGTTGTTTAGATCTGTTTATTTCAGTAGAAGATGCAAAATGATGATTTTTCTAATTGTCATTCCTTCTGCATCTAACAGCTGAGATTTTTATGAAATGAAAATTTCTTCATCAAATATTTGGTTATCCTGAAATACTGCTCTTATAGTGAAAGACAGAATAAATCCTTGATTCTCTCCCTTTATTTATCAAATTTTTGAAAAATGAGTTAGTGCCATAGCTTCCAAAGGTAACCAGTGAAGGGGTTTTTTTTGTCTGTTTCAGTATTATGATGAACTTGTGGATTTTAAAGTATTTGATACATAACAGTCCATCACATTATTATATTTTTGATGTTCAGAATTGGCCAGTAGGAGCACCTTCAGATTGGCACTTGTACCCTTTTAACATGATCTCAGTAGCCTTATATTTCCCTTACTGTTTGGCACTCCAGCGTATTCCATGCTCATCTTGTATGTTTTTTACCCTAGACCTGGCATCAACCTTTTTTTTTTTTTAAGAAGCTCTGGTTTCTTTTGGTGGCAAATGATATTTGGAGGCTGTGGTCTAAATACCATGGGTGCTCATTGCTCCCAGATTATCATTGCTTCGAGGCCAAGGAAATGTGTATATTTTAGAAAGAGAAAAATAAATCATGAGTTCATAGTGATATTTCCAACTCATTTTTAAGATTATAAGGTTATTTAATGTCTTTGATTTTATATTATATCCTTTTCCTCTTATGCTAAATATTTATTCCTAAAGCTATTAACATATTTATTTGCTTTATTCCATAATATATGTTTAATGGTTTTAAAATAATGTCAATAATATTACCAATAAGACTACTAGAATGTGGTTTTAAGATATTCATTTATTTTGTCATTAAGATAATTTTCATGTTTTAAATCTCTTGAAATAATTCTTCTCTGTGTAATATACAGTTGATAGATTAATTTCTTTCAGTTTGCTTTCAGTTTTTTAAGGGATCGCTGTTTTTTCTTTTGACTTAATTTTGGTTTTTAAGTACTAGACCCCTCTGTTCCCTTATTTATTTCAGAATCAGATGCCGAAGCTTCCCAGGAATTGGCAACAGGACGCAGAAGGACAGTAGGGATACTGGATATGGGAGGAGCCTCTCTCCAAATTGCTTATGAAGTTCCTTCCTCAACCTCTGTCTTTCCTCCAAAACAGGTATTTTACCTTTTAAGAAAATTCGGTTGCTAGGAATATCAGTATTTGTGATGGAAGGTCACTGTCTCTGGATTTAGACCAACTTGCCAGGGTCCAAATATTTGTTTAGATGCTCGCTTGCTTGTGTTTTCTTGAGCAGATTATCTCTCTGAGCCTTCATCTCCTCATATGTAAAAAAGGAATAATAATAGTATCTAGTTCATAAAGTTGTGACAATCAAATACCACCATTTCTGTAAAGCACTTGGCAAACCGCCAACTATATAGTAAATGTTTAATATATTTTAGCAATTATAAGTATACTGCCTATTTCCTAGGGTTGTCTGAGGGTTAAACATGACAATGCGTGTAAATCGCAGAGCACAGCATTTGATACACACTTGGTTGTTAAATGTCGTTCTCTTCCCCTTACCAATGATCCCATTTTTGTGCTTCTAATATTCCTTACCTGACAAGAATGTAAAGAATGTACTTTGAGAGAGAATTTTTATCATAGTGAGGGAAAGAAATACAGACACTCGTGAGCACCTATTATGTGCAAGAATGAGGCATGTTACACTGCCCCTCAAAGCTTGTAATCTGTCAGTGCAGACAGCTTGCAATAACAGGCCAACCATGACAATGTGCTGTCGTTTGATGTGAACCAGGGTTTCTTGTCCTTGGCAGTATTGACATTTAAGTATTTGTTGTGGAGGGCTCTCCTGGCATCATATGATTTTAGTAGCATCCCTGGCTTCCACTAGATGTTAATAATCTGCCTCCCTCAACCAACTCCCAGTTTTAACAATTAAAAGTGTCTCCAGATATTGCCAAATGTCTCTCGGGGTGTAAAACCTCTGGCTGAGAACCTCTGGTCTAAACAAAGAGCTGTGGCACTCTGGAAACTGGCAGGGTCAACTCATTTGCAAAGGCTTGAATGGGAGCCATGCCAGCTTCATGGAAGGTAATATATTTACCTTCTTGGATGGTGGTAGATTTTTGCATAGTGGAGATTGAAGGCCATCTGCATGGAGGGAACAGCATGCACAAAGGCACTGAAAAAGCAGCAAAGAGCCTAGAATGTCCAAGGAATGGTGAGTAGCCTGTTGCATTACAGAATTTTAAGTGTGACAATAGGGTAAGGCTGGGAAGATCAGATAAAGTTAAATAGTGAGGAATCTTGGGTGCCATGCTAGGGGATTTGTCTTTTTTATCTGTAGATAGTGGGGAACCAGAAGATGTTTAGGAGTGAGAAGTCATATTGGCCTCAGTTTCATCACCTATGAAATAATTAAACTCTAAAGGTCCTTTCTAGCTCTGAATTTTTGACTAGGTTAATTGTGTGGCTGTGATCTAATCAACCTGTTTTTTAGGAAAATAATTTCGATGTTAGTAGGAGAAAGAGATGGGAGGAGGGGACAGATTTCAAGGGTAATTTTGGAGTAAAAAAAACCAATGTAATGTGGTGGTGAGGATAGGACAGGGAGGGACGGTGAGTGATTCCCAGGGTCCAATTTAGAGACCTAAAGGGGAAAGTGAGAGACCACAGGGGAAAGGGCAGGGTTGATGCTAAGCAAACCAAGATGGTCTGAGTGGTTTGGATGAGAGCATCTTTTTGGTCTCTAGCTCTGAAGTCCTACAACCAGTGAATTCAATTTTGGGTATGTTGAGTTTGAGATATCTGAGGGACATATGTGTCCAAATATCTAGCATGACTATTGGAAATATGGGTTTGGCATTCAGCCGAGAAGTCTTCTAGGGTTGGAGATTTGGGGAACTAGGTTGGGAGACTTTTTAGTCTATATGTGTTAGTATGTATTCAATAGATAAAATGAAGGCATGGTTCTGATACTGAGGAATAGGTGACAGGTGGCACTAGGCCTTAAAGTCTTAAACAAATGACTTTGTGTGTGTGTGCAGATTTAGAAAGCAAGAAATATACTTGCAAGCAACAATTAGATGTACATATAGCAATGTAATATATCTTAATAATGGATCTTAGTGCTTGATAAAGAAAGAAAAGAAACAACGAGATGTAACATAACAGCACTTCCAAAAACTTAAATAATCGTAAATGCCTACTGTATTTTTTGTACATTTCACAAAGTTGTGCACATTCACAAAATTATATAACCACCACTGTCAAATTTCAGAATGTTTTCATCACCCCCAAAGGGAAACTCATCTTCATTATCGGTTACTCAACATTCCCCTCTCCCCAACCCTGACAACCACTAATCTACTTTCTGTCTTCATGGATTCATCTATTCTTGGGTATTTCATATAAATGGAATTATACAAAATGAAGCCTTTTGTGCCTGGCTTCTTTCACTTAGCAAAATGTTTTCAGGGTTCACCCGTGTTGCAGTTCTTCAGTTCCTTTTTATGTGTCAGTACTTCAGTTCCTTTTTATGGCTGAATAACATTCCGTTGTGTGAGCATGCCACATTTTGTTTGTCTATTCATCAGTCAGTTGACATTTAGGTTTCCTGTTTTGGGCTATTATGGATAATGCTGCTGTGAACATTCATGTACACATTTTTGGGTAAACCTGTTTTCATTTCTCTTGGGTATATACCTAAGAATGGAATTGCTAGGCACAATAGCATTTTCATAAATTAAAAATAAATACATTCAAACAATAATCCCATTTTGCAACAATACTTACAAACAAATATCACACATTGAGCACATTGGAATGGTTGCCTATAGCGGGGAGCAGAAACAGAAGTGGGTATGAGGATAAAACAAAAGTGGGGCTTTGCCATAATAATGTGCCATGAACCGAGGAATATACAACTTCTGTATCTGAAGTCAAAGTGAATGAATGAATGAATGAATGAATGAAAGGAAGGAAGGAAGGAACAAAGAAAGAAAAGAAAGAAAAGAAAGAAAAGAAAATGAAAGAAAGAAACTTTTCATTGGAAATATAATAAAATTGAACTTTCCCAATTCCAAATCTGTCACTGGGAACATTGAGACTTCCTGAATAGTTTTAGAAAACTATAGTTTTAGAAAACATGAAATAGATCTCATGATGATCTCCTTAATTTATTTTAATCAAAGGATTTTGTTTCTGATTATAAAAATAGTACATTCCCATTTTGGAGAACTGGAAAATCAGAAAAGTACATGCAAGAAAATAACAACATCTGTAATTATTCTACCTTTTATATAACTAGAAAGAGAGTATTTTAGTCTCTAATTTGGTATTTAGTCTCTGATTTGTTCTTTTATACAGTCTTGTCCTTTCATGTCTTTGTTTAAAATAATGCTATGAGGATGAAAGAATGCTTCAGGATATTTTAGAGAGTAGTCATAGCAAAGTCAAACAAAGCCTGGCATATTAACAATGTCATAGCTTTCTAGAAATCAACCAAAACTAAACTTCCCTTTTTTGTCTTTACATTGCATTATAGGAAGAAGCTGCAAAGATCCTGCTGGCTGAATTCAACCTGGGTTGTGATGTGCAACACACCGAACATGTATATAGGGTTTACGTCACGACCTTTTTGGGTTTTGGGGGCAATTTTGCCCGGCAGCGCTATGAAGATCTTGTACTGAATGAAACTCTTAACAAAAACAGGTATGTTTGACATGGAATCTGTGCTTCTAAATAGAGTGTCATCAGGCTGCAGATATTAAAAAGAAATATTCATATACCATTAAGATACACCCTTGCTTCCTCTTTCTTCCTGACCACCCTTCCCAGTGGGGTAGCATCTCTTAGAGACTCTCCATTAGTTGTCTCACTTGATCTGGGTAAGAATGCATTCCGATCTCTGTTATTGAGACTCATAAAATACAGCAGCTTATTGTGGTGACCTCTTACGGTGTCTCACTTCAGATGTCGCAGGATTAAGTGAGATTAATTAAATTGTGAATTTTAATATGCAGTATAATATAGCTCCTAGCACTTCTTTCTACATGGAAGTGCTTAAGATACGTGTTTTGAATTACAGTGGAGTTTGTGTGGGAATTTGGTACTATAGTGCCCTTAAAAGATAAAATGCATGTGTAGTCAAAAATTAACTTTTAAATTTTTCTCTCAGGAGAGCCAGTTTTTCCTCTAGCATGGACCAGATGCTAGATTCTTCATTTGAGTAACAGATAAAGTAGCTAGACCATAATGTACAAACAATTGTGGGGTTTTTGGTTTTTTTTTTAGCATTTAAAATTATTTTATCATTATGCACAGTGAAGAAAAGCATGATAGCAGAGTTCTTTTCCACCATAAAATTATTTACCCCCATTTGCTTAGATAGAAACGCTAGTGTGAAGAGGTAATAGTATATCTCTTTTGTAATAATTTCTCTGGAACAATCAACTGTTTTTGTTGGGATCACGTTAAAGAAGATATTGTCTCATAAGTCTTTTTCATTTGGATAAGTCTCAACTACTAAGAGGTCAGGGTACTTTGGGAGAATCCTGTTATCTCAGGTGATTGGCGAATGCATTAAAATCAAGCAGTGTGTTTGTATTCTGAAAATACTCTTAAATGTTGCTTAGGTTGTGGAGCTCAGATCGCTTCTGGTGGCACTATGACATCTGAAGAACAATTGTAATGAAAGTTTCACACCAATTTTGTTATGTTCCTTCTTCATTAGCTATTGTGCTTTCTTTTGTATTTTCGTCCTTCAGTGTTCTGCTACTCTTTTTCCTTTGTCTGCTATTTTCTGCTGCCTCAGAACTTGCCAGGCTTCATCATCTTCTTTGCATGTATTGGCATTTTCTTGCCATGTATCTAAGTCACCTAATTCAGAAGGGTGATTATTCATCTTGTGTAGCTGCTAATCTATTAGAGAAACCTGTGCTTCTTGAGATGTCAAAACTTAATTGTTCTCTCTTCTAAGTTTTCCTTATAGTTGGTGTTTCATCCTTAAAATGGGTTCCAGTTATTCCAAAGCATTTTGTTGTGTTGCCACATTCCCCTTCCCTTCTTCGGTCTTTATATTTGTGGGTGCGTCCTCATCCCAGGAAGTCCATTCTTCAATGTCTTTCTGTTTAGGAAATGATGAATAATTAACTGCAGTTTGACAGAGTTACTTGGTCTCATCCTGATTTCTGTCCTCTGCAAGATCTGCATATTAATCTCTTCAAGAATGAGAATATTGTTGCTTGGCAGCTATGGAGTGTGATGGCCATGGTGGGAATTAAACCTGCCCGTCCCCTCTCCATGCAGAGCCAGGCATGTGCTCCATCAGCACAGAAACACTGCCACAGAAGCACTGCCATCGGCGCCTCAGGAAACTTCCCCAGTCCCTCCCACTTCACTTCCTCCCAGTTGTTGTTTTAAACATTAGAACCACATTCAGCAGGGTGAGATCTTGGCCTTTTAAGAGGCAAGCTGGAATGAAGACCAGATGGAGGATAGCAGATTCATACCTCCAATTTCACTTTACAGTGAAAATATACATGTTGACTAAAAGGTTGAATAAAATTGATCACTGGCGTATTTCTCTCTCTTTCTTTTTCCTTTTATTTATTTATTTTTTTTGCTAAATTGAATTTGCTTAAGTCAAATGTTCATGTGACTCAACTATATGGCAATACTCCATCCTTGTTTCTGGGATGTCATGTAAAACAATAGCAAGATGTTTGTGAAGCACATTCTTAGAACCAGTTTCTTAAACTAGGAGTTTTTTAGAGTAGGTTGAGTACAGTCGTGATGTGTTTTGTTTGTTTTTGTCACTGCGACAGGTTGCTGGGCCAGAAGACAGGTCTGAGTCCTGACAATCCGTTTCTGGATCCTTGCCTGCCTGTGGGGCTCACAGATGTGGTGGAGAGGAACAGCCATGTCCTGCATGTCCGAGGAAAAGGAGACTGGGCCACTTGTGGGGCAATGCTGAGCCCTCTGCTGGCTCGCTCGAACACCAGCCAGGCTTCACTGAATGGCATCTACCAATCGCCAATTGACTTCAACAACAGCGAGTTCTATGGTTTCTCTGAGTTTTTTTACTGTACGGAGGATGTGCTGCGCATTGGTGGCCGCTATCACGGGCCAACATTTGCCAGGGCTGCTCAGGTAAATTATTATTAAGGTGACTCATGCCAGCAGTGGCTCTTTATTGGATGCTCCACGCACTGTGCGAAAAGCTTTGCATGCATGGTCTCACTTGGCTCTTCACAGAGCCCTATGAACCCTCATTTTACTAGTGAGGAAGTATATTTAGAGAAGTGAAGGAACCTGTTATACTATACTGCCTTCCGATTCATTAAGCTTAGGCTTCCAGGATATCCTATCACCCAAATCATCACTCAGGTCTAAAATTGTTGTAGCAGCTAATAGTTTTTCCTCCAACTTACCACATTAAACATTTTTTAATGTTTAGGGCCAAAAAGTGTCATCTTTAGGTATTTTTCCCCTTACTGCGTGTTCACAGTTGTAATGTGCTTTTGGAGATGTCACATGGTTTGGCAAGTTCACTTTTATTCTCTTGGTTTGAGCTATTAAAAAGAGGGTCACTCAGCATATTAGAAAGATGTAAAAATGTGCAATGAGGGTAGAAGTATTTAAATTTAAAATGCAGCAGAAGTAAAAATTCACTTTGAGCATATGTAGGACTTAAGCATCCTGTGGTCTTAAATCATTAGATACCTGGACAGGTAAGAGTTCAGCTAGCTTTCTGTAGTTCCTGTTTTAATTTAGATTTGTTACTTTGAATTTTTGTATATCTCTCTGACCTCCCTTTTATCAGAGAAACTTATGGGAAGAATCTGTTCTCTCTTATGTTTTTTATCCTTTCCTTTCTGCTTTCATGTAATTCTTTAGGGTTCTCTTGGTGAAGACTCCCAGTAGAATAGTGTCTGCAGTATGTGTACTATTCTGTTCCCTAAGGGCAGTCCCTAAGAAATATTAAGGCAAACTTAGTTTGTATTTGCTTTTTCCTCTGTACCCTATATGAGGAATACACTCATACTCTCTTTTTCCCCCCGAGTCTAGGTCTCCCTAAGTATTCATGGCCTGAATCTTTCTCTCATTTTAAAGCTTTTTCAAATGCTATTCCTTTGAACACCAAAGGGCTCAGGTTATTACTTGCCCAAATTGGTAGTGGCTTGATATCTTCTCTTTCTCAGGTAAAGAGATGATCCTTTTCCCTCACTTTTTTTACTTTGACTCTTGTGTTAGCTTCGTAGTGACACCTTCCCTGGCCACCCTATCTAAAGTTGTAACCTTCCCCAATATTACCTATTTCCCTTTCTTGCTTTATTTTTCCTGTTAGCATTTATGTCATTTAATATACTCTATATATGTACGTGTATATGTATGTATGTATGTGTGAATGGATGTATATTTGGTTATTGTCTGTCTCTCACCACTAGATAGTAAGGTTCATGAGAAATAAAGAAATTGCTACAGAAATTTTTTTCTGTTTTATTCACTGCTGAATCCTCTTGGCACCTAGAACAGCATCTGGCACATATGAGACATTCAGGAAATGTTAGTGTTCTGAACAAACCAAAAGGAATGATTCCTTTGGTGAGAATTACCACATGGAGATGGGACGGTAGGTTTCTGACCATTCTGTTCCATCTGTTTTACCTGCTTGTGTCAGTTTTACAGAGTCGAATGAAGCTGTCTTCGGCTTTTTATGTTGCTATTTCTTCATCTTAATCTTACATTACTCTGAAGACTTAAGAGGCTCAGGGGTCATGTCAGGCTGGGTTTGTACTAGACTTAGAGATGATAGGAAAAAGAGTATTTTCAGGCCACTCAAGTCACCCAGCAGCCTGAGTTCTAAAACTTGTGTTGCACAGGACCTGGTGCAGTGTCCAGTTAATAAATATGCCATTTCTGTTTTCCTTTGTCAGCTAGTAGACACCAAGTAACTTTAGAAATGGAACAGCTGTGACTGGGGGTGGGGGGGTGAGTTACAGAGTTTGCCTCCAATTTCATGTTGCACCATTTCTTTGTGGTTGTTCCAGGATTACTGTGGCATGGCTTGGTCGGTACTAACTCAGAGATTCAAGAATGGACTTTTTTCATCACATGCAGATGAGCATCGACTCAAGTAAGTAACTTTCTTTTCCTCCTTAGATGGGGCCTTAGACGGCAGATTATAATGAAGAAGAGGGAGTGAGCAATAGTATAGATTGGATTTTATGTTGAAGGAGAAGTTGATTATTTCAGATTTTGATTTTTTGAGAGATAGAGGCCAAATAATGTTGTGGGGGTTTTTTTTTGTTTTTTGTTTTTAGCAAAGACAAGGAAAACCAGTGGTTACTAGAGTTTTCTCCAATTGGTGGCCTTTTTTTTTTTTTTTTAAGTTTTTATTAAAATATCAAAATGCAGAAAAGTAGAAATAACAGTAACATAAACCCTCATGTAACTATCACCCAGCTTCAACAAACATCAATATTTTGCCAGTTTGGTTTATCGGTCCTCCTATTTTGTAAACATTTTAGTTAAAAAAAATTTAAACATAAACAAAAATATTATAATGGACTTATGTGTACCCATCACTCAGCTTCTCTACTAACAGTTATCAACTCCTGACCAATCTTGTTTCATTTATTTTCCCACCTACAATTCCTCTCTTATCTTAATTAGGTTATTTTGAATGGGCCCAGACTTCCCTTAATTACATATGTAGATATTTCAGCGTTTTCTCTAAAAAAAAAGGAAAACATAGCCATAATATTATCATTGCATAAAGTGTTCTTCACATTTGTGGTAAGCATTAACATAAAGTAGGCTTAAATTTGGTCCCACCTAGAGGCAGGGGAGCTAAAGCTGGGAGAGAGATTTTTTTTGACATCATATCCAGTGGGAGTTTGCAGAGGAAAGCATTAAAATTTTTTCTTTTTTAAAAAAATTTTAATTATTTTTCGTCACACAGATATCAGTGTTTTAAATCGGCTTGGATGTACCAAGTCCTTCATGAAGGCTTCCACTTCCCCTATGACTACCCAAACTTGCAGACAGCCCAGCTGGTGTATGACCGAGAGGTTCAGTGGACGCTGGGAGCCATTCTGTATAAAACACGATTCTTACCACTCAGGTAAGGTGGACTAACCAGGCTGGCGTCTTAAGCTCAGAAGATGTTAGTGCCTCTGAAAAGGTTTCTTAAGTGACCCCTACCCCTCCGCCAACAAACTCCCTTTAGTACTACCATATGAACTGCTGTTACTAACCAGACATGTTGAAACAGAAAGAAGATTGAGAATTATAGGTCTGGAGTCTGTTCCTCAGCTTTGCAATTTCAGAAATTCGTTATTTGTTGATCCACAACAAATCAATCATTAGGACTGAGTGTTCACTAACCGCTTCCAGGATCCTGACTGACAAACTAAAATGTCATTCTTAAATAACCCCGGGAAACACATCCGACTAGAGAGCTGGGGTTGGCAGTCTGCACAGAGCCGTCTCTTCTAATGAGCAGAGCTGCTCTGGAGATGCGTCACTGACTTGGGAGACTTTTGGTGGCCCAAATTCGAACAAAGGACATAAGATGCTTCTAGAGGGGATATTTTCATCAAGCAATGGTAGCCTGATGTCTTGCTCTTGTGTACTGTAAGATATTTGGGATAATCTTTAGGAACTTTCTCTCTGGCATTATTGCAGATGAACTAAAATGAATTCTTAATCTTCGGTGCCTGTTTTACTGAACTCAGTGCAGTCAGGAGCCAGGCAAGTGATAGAAGTCGGAGAAGTAGGGAACTGGAGAGTGCGTGCCCTACCTGAACTATCGATTACTGTCATGCAGAAGTGCTGTCCCAGCATTGCCAATTCTCATTTGTCAAGAGAAGACAGAAGTCCATGTTTTATATGTGGCCTTTTAGTTTGGAGAGTCACATTTTAAAAAAACAATACAGGTGAAACAAAACAAAAACGGATCTGGTATCTGGCCCACCAAAGAGCGGCTTCTGTTCTAGACAGACCGCTGCGTTTAGATTTACATGTCTCTTAATTTTTGTCTAGATTACAATACAATTGATCGGATGACAGCTTTCTTTAGTATAACCTAAATCCTCAGTAAGCAGCAACTTTTTTTTTTTAAAGATTAGATATACTCTGATTTCTTGACTGGATCCCGGGGCCACCCTATTCTCATCGGTACCACATTTACGAACTATATAGGCCAGAGTGGTATGGGGCCACCGTTAAGACTAATGTTACAGGTGATCAGTTTTGTCTTATTATTCATTTTTTTCGCTTCCAATTTTGCCCCCAGATTCTGGAGAGTGTAGACCTGTGAGGCTTCCTCTTTAGGCTGTGGAAAGGAAGGTACAGGAGGAATCATACAGCAGCCCTGGGGCTGAAGACGTGCTTCAGCTTTGCTTGCTCTGTGGAACTGCCATCATAGAGTGTCTTTGTGGATGGAATAAATGGGATAACATCACTGGGCCTTTTAAATCAGCATAAAGGTTTCTCTCTGAAACTAACATTTCTTTCCACCTTTAAATTCTTCCCTAGGGATCTACGACAGGAAGGTGTCCGACAGGCCCATAGTAGCTGGTTCCGTCTCTCCTTTGTCTACAACCATTATCTCTTCTTTGCCTGTATCCTGGTGGTGCTACTGGCCATTATCCTGTACCTTTTGCGACTACGCCGAATTCACCACCGACAAACTCGAGCCTCAGCTCCATTGAACTTGCTATGGATTGAAGAAGTGGTGCCCATGATTGGGGTCCAGGTGGGGCCATGAGGCTGGGCAAGGACTAGGGAAGCTCAGGTACCCTAGAGTTGCTGCTCATCGAATTCTACCACTTTCTTGTTCTGGCCTCAGATGCTGCTTTGCCTGACCTTGTGAATATTTGGCCTGGTAATTTCTACTTTAATATCTACGTTCATTTCTTCTCAATCTCCAAGTCCTCTTATCTGAGAGAAGCTGTAATTTAGTCTTGTGAAGAACTAAATCATGAGAGATTGGTGCTAACAAAGGTAACCAACCTTAGTCCAATTGAAGCATGCTTCTACTCCTTTACCTGAGAGGCCTGGTGTGTTCCTGGGATTTAGACTTTCCTCCCTTCGCTAAAGCATGCAATTTGGGCACACTGGAAGCCGGGCTGAAACCAAACTTGGAGCATCTGATACAAAGCCGAAGACTTTCTAGCAAGTGCAGCAGCCCCTTCTTTCTCTGTAACAGAGATATCATTTATGTGGAGATCCACAGCCTTTAATAGGGATCCAAGATAATTTGCAGTTCAGTGGAACAGATAAGAGTTTCCAGGCAACCAAAATAACAGCTCCTTGCTTATTTGACAAAGAAGCCATTATGAGTGTGGTCCAAGACCCTTGACATAGTGTTGCTGATGTTAGTGATTTTAAAAGGTTAGAACCCCTTCTAAATGAATGGTCCCTTGAAGATTTTGATAGTATCTTTATCTGATGTCTGGTATGACCAGGATAGAAAAGTTTTCCATGTGCATGTGCCTCACAGGCTGTTTGGGCATTAAATTTTTCTTTTTGAGCCTTAAATGTGCTTGTAGGATGGAGAAACTGTGATGGGGATTGGAGACCTGGGTTTGTGTGATTTCAGGTTACTGTCCTCTAGGCCTATTTTTATGAGTCCTTATACAGAAAGATTCAAAAGAGTTTATTTCACTGCTGTCATCAATATGTAGTTTGGGAAGGGACGTATTTGGGTTGTTTTTAAAGATGGAAAGAACAATATTAGGATAGTGAGCAAAGGCAATAAAATCCAAGCTCTTATTTATTTATTAATGTTGTTCTGAGAAATAGAAATTTTCTTAATTTGACTCCTGGAATGTCTGAAAAGAAGCAAATTCTAAACTTTGGAATAAATAGATAAATCTGTTAATAAGCCATCTGGCAACTTTCAGAACCTATGTTAAGAGCTTGATCAATTACAAACAGCATTTCCATTAATGAGGAAAAGAGGAAAAGCCATAATAATTACATTTTCATCCACGACCCTTTAGGAGCTTTGCTCCTCCTCCACATTTAGCCTTTAAATTGCACAAGGATTTCTTATTCATCAAATCCCACCTTCTCCCATGGAATCTTTTTTATACTTTATCCTTCTCTATGTGTAGCCTTGAATGTCCTGCCCAAGAATATATTCCCAGAGTTGTAGTAACTTTCTTTTCTGTTTTGTCACCTTTGATTTCTAAAATTAGATGAGAAGGAGAAATGGCCCCTGGCTTTAAAAGAAAAAAAAGTGGAATTATTAAAATGTAAATTCCATACTGAGAGCAGAAAGAAGTTAAATGCTTCATAAAACAGAGGAAAAAGAAATCAAGATCTTCCTAGAAATAAACTGAGATGAAAATAAGTACACTGACTCTTGGTTGGTGGGTGAAAAGGTGACAAGTCCTGAGTTGTTTTCAAATTCGATTAAGATGGATCTAGCAAAGAATCTTACAGTTTCCTTTGGAAATATTTTTTATCATTAGGGCTTACATCACAGTAATTTCCTTTAATTTTTAAGACTTCTAATTTGCCTTGCTTTTCTTTGACTTCTTATCCTTGAGTGAGCCTTCGCTTTATGAATGCTGCTTATTAATCATGTCAAAATATGTTTTTGCTAGCCATTACTTACTCAGGTAACTCTTTCTTTTCTCTTCACCTTGGTTTCCAAATAGTATTTTTGGTTTCTTTGGAGGTCTAGTCAGTGAGCTAGTGAAAAGCTACCTAATTGGCTAACAGTGATCACTTTGTGTGCTCAAAAATGAGGTTGAAGCAGGGAGGAGGTGGCGATTAGTCCAATTTGAAAGCTGCTATTCGTAAAGTTATTCTTCGTCCTGGTTATAATAATAGCTACCATTTCTTAAGCACTCATTGTGTACCAGACACCGTTAAGAATTTTATCTACATTATTTAATCATTATGACCACCTTTCAGATTGATATTACTGTGTTCTTTTTATAGTTGAGAAACTCAGGATACCTATGTTTATCATTTTTTTCAATATAAATTTATTTCATAGTCTTAATTTATTTTTATTAGTCTTTGAGTTTTTGTTTAGTGTGCTATATCCTGTATATTAATATTATAGGATCTCAGCTTGTCTTTATTACCATGAGCAAAACTTCTCAGAGTTCCATGGTTTAAAAATAAGAAGGACAAATTTTTATCATAGCCCTCAGAAAAACTGAATATATGCTCTTGGTGTTGGTTTCTGTGCTTCTTCCATTGTTCTCAATTAATGATTTTAAACAAAATTTCATTAGAAACAGAAGCCATTCATTCCTTGCTAAGAGCCAATTACTTATATATATATTGCTTTTCTTGATGAAATATTCTTGCTTATAGAGTCAGTCTGTTTTGCCTTTAACCCTCTTTTAGCTCTGTTTTTAAAGATTTTAAAAGGTTTCATTTGTTTACATTTCTGCATTTGAGGTTCCCCTGTGGATATAATTTTGGTTTCATAAAATTCACATTCCACTGGTTACTGTGAATCCTGCCAACCAGTCTTCTTGATAACAGCAACAATGAACCTGAACTATTTTGGTACTTTTATTACCTGAGACAGGTCACAAATGTCAAAATCAGAGTCAGTGGCTTACAGGAGTGCTGTTTTGTCTTATGATGTCATTACCTATCACTTTTCTCTGAATTCTTGTTAGTAGATCATAATGACAATATGTGTAATACCCAATTATATGGCATTACATTCACTTAGCAGTTATCTGTAAGCGAGATTATACCATCTTTCTCTCTGTACCTTAGTTCCTTGAATTGATTTTCCTTGGTCGAGGAAATTTTCATCACTTTCCAGCCTTGTGTTTATTTTGACTCTCCCCTCCTCAGCCTAAGTGCTTCCTTTAACTTCAGAGGCCTTAGGCGCAGTCATTAAAATGTGGTCGAGTCTGCCATATACTTGCTAAGGCAGTCTTTTTAGGCATTAACATTTGTTATCATATTCATATTTACAGTTTTGAAATAACTTTTACTTCTCACTAGTATTATCTAAATTAGATGCCTCCCACCCCACCCCTATTTTCAGGAGTGAGACATATGGATGGTCTGATTAGGGGAAAGAACAACAGACTTCAACAGCAGACTTGCTTCTGGACCTGGCCTCTCTGGCTCTGGGATCCCAGGCAAGTCGCTTGCCCTGTCTGGCTCATTTTTCATCTATAAAACAGGGTGGCTAGACAAGATGATCCGAGGCCAGTTCCAAAGGGAAAACCATTGGCCTAAGGAACTAAAGGCAGGAGAGAATGTAGAAAAGTGATATAGTTTCAGGAAGAGGATTTTGGCCTTTGGTTTAGAAGATGAGGCTGCCCCAAAAGAGCCAGTAGTCATCTCCTACCTTGTCTATAGCCCCTGACATTCCCTGATAGGAATGGAGTTTCCAACAGCAATCATTATATATAAATTTCAGAAGATGAGATTAAAGCTGGGATTTGAGAGATCTTCTGGCTAATCCTCTTGGTTTTATGGATGATGAGATTGAGGCCCAGAGCAGTAGTAATATGTGCAGTCACAGTGAGTGGCCTCGTGGATCCAGTTTTCTCTCTTCTCTGTACCACACACACACCTTGGATAGGTGCAATGAAATGCTCATTGATAGAATCTTCCTGCAAGATTGTGTGTTTCAACAGAATCTGCCCTTCGTAATACAGCTGACTGCAACTAATGATGCCCAGTCTTTACAACTGCTGCTGATATTCATTTGTAGTTGCTTTGCTCACATTTAGGAATAAAATATGAAAGAAATACTTTGTTAGAAATAGTACCAAGGTTTCTCTACATCTATTCTAGCTTCTGTATTTAATACTTTTAGATTTTAGATGTCTCTTTTAAACAACTTGCTTAATTTTATACAATTTTCCTAACCACAGCAATCAAGCAATTCATGTGATGGTTGCAATCTAAATTATTTAAGGTATAAATGCCTATTAGATCTACCTCATTAAGGAATGTGGTTAAGTCTTGGGCAGTTCCCAGACTCCCTTATGAAATGGAGTGCTGTTTCTTTTTGCTGTCTTTAAACCTCTTTTCAAACTAATTCAGAACTAGTATCTAATTTCTCTTTTTGCTGTGGCATGTAATGTAACTTTAGTTGGGATTAAGAATTAAGGTGGAAGTAACAGTGGATGTCTCACATTCTTCCAAATTTTTCTCTTAAGATTATGCTAGTTTCAGAGTCCCGCCACTAGGGCCATATGCTGTCAAACTTGTAATGATTTTGTTGTTACAAAAAATATTTCTGTTAAAAAATGAAGACTCTTTTTTAATTTAAATCCTAATAGACTTCCCTTGTATTATCACCCAGTGTTCCCTTTTGCCCTAATATTTGTTTGTCAGGACTCTTATTAGATGGATAGAGGAAGAATACATCTGTTGACCATTTTGTTTCTCTGGAATTCTGAGCAATGAGATCCTTTTATTTGTAAAATTGAATCATTACTCATACTATAAGGGCTTTCTACTTTTAAGATGTATTCAATCATTGCTTGCCATTTTTTTTAAAGAAAACAAAGTTAAAAAAAAGTCTGAATCACAGATGTTTTTAGCCATGCATGTATGATTCAGGAAAGCCTCAGGACATGTGGGCTCCTGGGGCTCTCCATCGTTAGTGCAGCCACTCGTATGCCTTTTAGTGACCTACTCCTCCCACTCCACTCCAATGAGGTAGCCCTGATACTTTCCTGAACAACCCTCCTACAGAGCACCTGCCGGGGTTTGGCCTATTAAGACTAGTGGTGGTGAAGGCTCTGCCCCTTATTAGCTTCGTTAAGTCTTTATAAACAATGATCCCAAATACTCTGATTTCTGGTATTTCTGTCATTATGTTGTGCTCAAAATTCTCATTCCACTAGTCCTCTTTCGTTGAAGCTGTGAAGTGTATGCCTTGTCTTCACTGTTTCTGCGTTGAGCGATGGACTGTGCAGTTGAAAGCATCTTTTTATTATGATCCACAACTATACACTCCCTTCTTGCTAAGGCTGGGGGTTGCTAAGATTGTACATTTTTCTAACATTTCACGTTAAATAATTTTGTTGAACAGTTATTAAAATTCGGATACTGTTAAATCAGTGTCGAGCAAAATGTGCAATGCATATTAGAGGGGAGGCATTCCCCTTATGCAGGGACATGGGCATCTATGTCACATATGCCAATATATAATCCACCATTCATTCCAGGACCGGAAGGATTGCTGTGGATAAACTGGTTATCTAATCTTATGATCATCAATGTTGGTCTTTGAAACCAGCATCACTTTAGGCAGTAGCTAATCGTTACCCCTGCCACAATGGACAGCATTTGTAAGTGTAAGTTAAAGACAAAAATATTCCAGGTTGTTTACAAAAACCAGGTGTTTTAATTTCCTTTGATGTTTTAAAAACTGACAATTGTTGAGACCTTTGAAAATATTAAGGGAAATTCACTTAATCTTCTCAGCACTTATTTTGAAAGAGGTGGCTGGGCCATCAGTCTGTAATCATACATTCATGCATTATTTGGTACGTGTCTGGTACTGGGAATAATGCAAATAAAAATAATTCAGATAATTTCCATTCACCAGGAGCTCGCAGATAGGCATAATACAGTTATATAGCTAAATACGAGACCTGTTTTTTCCAAATATTCATCTTTAATAAAAGAAAAATGAAGTAAAACATCTGAAACTTGAACTTATTCATTGCTTTGTTGAAGGGAACCGGAAAGGCATTAGCATATGGTTTTTTGGGTTGGACCACACTGCCCTCTGCTGTTATTTAACTAAGGACAACCTTTGGGGATCAGGAGATAGTATGGGAACCTACCCCAGGGACTACAGTTCCCATTTTAAAAGAATTCTGAAGAGGTATATCCCATTAACATGCTACAACACAGCAGGTTAAATGAGATAGGGTGGGGTGGAAATTCAGAGGGAATGAGAATAAGTAGTCAAAACTTCTAAAGTAACTAGGCTATGAGGGCTTAGGCCAATGAACTTGCCTGCACATTGGAGTCACCAGGGGAACTTAGAAATAGGCCTATTACTGCTTCCAGATACTGTAATTTAATTGGTCTTGGGTGAGGCTTGGGCTTAGGATTTTTAAGGATCTAAAGTTGGGAACCACTTCTAATTATAGCATAAGCCCCAGGCTCTGAGACTTTCTAAAATTCAAGGACAAAGTGCCTACTTCTGTTTTGCCAGGAACCACTTGAGAATGGTGCATTCTAAGTCACACTGAAACTCACAGAATACTGGAGTTGAAAGGGAACTGAGATCACGTGGTCCAGAGACTGTAAGCAGGCAAGCCTTAGGTCATTTTTGGCTCCCAAACATGTTACCACCTGCGTAATATGCCCCAAATTTGAAATTAGTTGCCAGCACTTAATTGAGAGCTTTCCCATAAAAATCTAGGTGTTTGGCTTCTTTAAAAAAAAAATCAGATCTGACAACCCTGGATGTGCAGAGCAGCAATATGCCAGAGCTCAGCAGTGGTTCAGCCTGTTAGCTGGGGCACTACTTTGCCACCGTCTCAACCAGACTGACCCTAGTGGGCATCTGATTTGGTCCAACTTACTCTTGCCTGTTGCAAAACTAAAAACTAGCTTTTTGCAACTTTGGACCATCGCTCCAGCTTTGCAGCACAAAAGCAGCTCATTTCTCCTGCATGAGGTCTTCAACCTGTTGAGAAAGGAATCTTGCTCTCTCCAAATGTTCTCCAGCTAAATACCCCCAGTTCCTTCAAGTATTTTTTGGGATATGGGTTCTGGACTCCTCACCATCCTTGTCCCTTCCTTTGGATACTTAGTGGTAAAGGTCCTCCTTAAATTTGGTACCTGGAGTGAAATGCAGCACTTGCACCGAGGTATTCTATGGCTGTGAAATTTGTATTGATAAAATCTGAAACACCACTAATTTTGATTGCCGTCATCATCATTTTGTTGGTTTGTGTTGAGCCTGCGGCCAACTAAAATCCCTGTCTTTTTTTATATGAAATGATAGGAAGCCAGGTTTCTCCACCCCAAACTAAAATAACCTATCTAATTTAAATGAAGATGTTATATTTATAACCTGTTTAATTTCATCTTGATCATGTTACTCTGGAACAGTTTGGAGCTGTGACTGTCATCTATTAGCAATGTTGGGCTGCTCCATCCTCAAATCTGATCTGATGCCTTCATCCAAACACTGATTTAAAAATTAAGTTGACTGAGACAGAGCTCTGTGAAATATCAAGAGACTAAAATCACACTAAATTCATTAATCAACAATTTGTTTAAATGTCTATGGCCACCTCAAGGCCACATTTTATTCATCCATTAGAAAAATTTATATTATCTATTCCATTCATCCGACCTAGCAATGTAACAGCACTATGTAGGTGATTGCCTGATGAGTCCAAGTGGGTTACTAGTGATTACCTCCTTTTCTAAGTACCTATAAACCATTCTGCTGCACACACATCAAGCTTGTCACAACCTACCCTTTACCTATTTTTGAAAATCAGGATACTTGGAAGACACTAGCTCTTTCTTGTTGAAGGTTACGTGGCTGCTTTAGGGTGTGCCAATTCTTCCCTTTGAATCTTCACCTGATGAAAGTGAAGGTAAGGTTTCCGCTTAGGCAGAATTCAGGACTCAGGAGGTGAAGAGACAGAGATGATGTATGTAGAACCAAGAGCATGCCAACATTAGAAACCTGAGGAAGCAGCAAATGGCAGATATTTTTTTTTCCCTACATTAAACCTGATTTTCAACATGACAGATTTCAAAGGGAACTTTCAGTGTAACCATACTTGATGACATTCTTGATCCTGTGACTGTCTCAAAAACAGGCAAAGAATTTTTAAAAACTTGGCCAATTTGGAAACCACTTGATAGGCCAAGGTCATTCTCTTAGAAAAGGTCTTGTGCTCTCTGATGAGCTCTCAAAAGCACAGTTTCAGTCCTATGAAGCCTGATCCTCTTAGAATTATTTTGGGACTCTGCGGAGTTCGTTCATGAGCCAAAGGGCAGCACTGAGCAGAGCCAAGGAGCCCGACTGGTGAGTGGCAGCCAAAGGAGTTGGGACGTACATCAGCAGAGTGCTAATGCCCAAACCCACCTGTTAGAAGAAAGAAAGCAATAAGCAAAGTACATTCAGAGCCAAAATGACTGAGTGTGGACAACCAGATACATAAAACTCCATATTCTCCCAGCAAAACATTAAAAGTATATTTTTAATTTCACAAGTAAATATGCTTACAATGAAGGAAATTCAAACAAAGCAGAAAATCTAAAATTTCCCTTAATCATCCTTCATCCTGTCCCAGTTTACCTCCCACAAGTAGTCACTGTGATCAGTTTCTACACACTTGTACTTATGTGTAAATATTTTTAGAGAATCATATAGTTTTGTACTTTTAAAAATATATTGTTCTGTCACTTGCTTTTTTTTTTCACTTAATAATACATGTCTTGAGGTCTTATTAAACTGCTATACAGTATTCTAAAGTATAAATTTACCATGATTGTTTATTTATCTGTTTAGGTGGTTTTCTAATTTTTCACCATTACATCAATTCTACAGTGAATTTCCTCACAGATATATGGCTCTTTGTGAATTAGAATATCTCTAGAATAATAAGTCAATTTGCTGGGCCAAAAGATTATACATTTAATATTTTAAAAGATACTGCCAAACTGCCCTCTGCAAATGCTATACCAACTCATGCTCTCACCAAGAATATATGGAGGCATCCATTTTCCTATACCTGAGCCAATATTATTTTCATTTTCTTTCCAATCTAACAAGGACAAAATGCCATGCATTGTTTTAATTTGCTCTTCCTTGATCATGAGTGAGACTAAACAGCTTTTCATATTTATTAGCCATTCATATTCCTCTTGTGAGAATTATTGATATCTTTATTTTATTTTCTAGTTACTAATTTTCTAGTCTATTATAAGTACTAAAAATATTTTTTCCTAGCCTGTTACCTTTCCTTTTTAACTTTGTTTTGGGGACACCCCCAGACCAAATAGAAGTGGTTTATACCTGGGTATATGCCAAAGCTAGCAGAGTCACTGCTGCCATCTTGGTCCTTCGAGGAAGAGGAATTCTCTGAGAGAG